CACGGACTGACTCATCAGGAGGCGGCTGAACCCTATATATCTTCAAACAGAGCTGCCCGCTAAACCGTACGCAGAGAGGGAGACCCTAGATAGATAGATAGATAGATAGATAGATAGATAGATAGATAGATATCGTCAAACAGAGCTGCCAGGTAAACCGTAGGCAGAGAGGGAGGGAGGGAGAAGAGTACAACAAACGAGGGGGCGCTGTGAGCCTGTGACGAACTGTTTAGTCGGAGTTTCACCCACCGACTGACTCATCAATCAGTAGAGGCTGAACCCTCAACAGTCTGCAGAATCCCCCATCCGCTAACTGATTACACACTGTAAATGATAACCCACCTTAACCCCGGTTGTTGGGGTTAAGCATCATCAAGAACTGCCCGATAACTGATACCCTGAGGTGGGCACCAACTATAAACTATAATATATACTCTTTTTTTTTCCCAACCAAAAGTTATTCTACAAGCTGGGAATCGCGCCCGGCGCCCCTTACAATTGCAACTTTCAGTATTATTTAACATAAATTTAAATAAATACTGAAATTTAAATGCTGAAATTTAAAGTATGTGCCGCACCCGACATGAACGAGGCATCACCGGTGCCATGTGTCAATTTTGAAATTTACGTACTCAATAATTTAAATTATTTAATGTAATATTTAATTGAAGTATTTCTACTTTTGGAGTAACACGTACATCGATTGCCTTGGGCAAGGGGCCGACTGAGTTTTGCTATTTTTCTTTTTTTTTTAACTTATAATTGGAAAAAGAGAAAAAGTCGATTGGAAAAATCAATCAAAAGTTTACAAAAAGGTGAAAAAAAAAAAACAAAAAAAAAAACGGACGGATAGACATAAGAGAGAGAGAGAGAGAGAGAGAGAGAGAGAGAGAGGCTGCCCTTTTTCCCCCGAATACAGCGTACGGTCGTTATAGCTGTATGTATGTATACCCAAATACAGCTATAACGACCGTACGCTGTATTCGGGGGAAGAAGGGTTCCCAAGAAGGGAGGAGAAGGTAAACAAGAGACGAAGAACCCGTCGCGAGTGGGAGAGAGAGAGAGAGAGAGAGAGAGAGAGAGAGAGAGAGAGAGAGAGAAAGCAAAGAGGCAGGAGAAAGAGGAAGGAAAGGGGCAGGAGGCAAGGGAAAAGAAACAGACTAGAGAGAGAGAGGGGAGGGGAGGACGGAGGGGGAAG